GTGTGTGTGTGTGTGTGTGTGTGTGTGTGTGTGTGTGTGTGTGTGTGTGTGTGTGTGTGTGTGGTGTGTGTGTGTGTGTGTGTGTGTGTGTGTGTGTGTGTGTGCGTGCGTGCGTGCGTGTACGGTGACTACCCTGAACATGACAGCAACGTGGCACTTCCAAACACGAAATGGCCAATGAAAGGCAACAGAGACACGGACGCAGACGGACTCACTCGGTTTGTGCTTGACACCCAGTGCGTTCGTCAGCCAGTGCTCGCACATGTGAATCACAGCCGGAAGCTGTTGCACAGCACGAGACACAGCAGTGCAACAGGATTTCATTGGTATGCACGCAAGGCGTGTGTGTGTGCGTGTGCATGAGTATATGAACAATACGTGCGAGTGTGTACATGTGCGAGTATTTGCGGGTTAGAAATGCTCCGCCATCACTCTGTCTTTCTCAAAAGCAACATGCTCACACACCCTCCCAGCACACACACACACACACACACACTCACACACGCACACGCACACGCACACACCTGATCGCATGCGCAGAGCCAGTCCACGTAGTGCGCCGCCTGCGACGGGAGAAATTGCTCTGGCAATGACGCCATCTCCTCTGCCCGTGCCAGCACTTCCGATCGCTGCGCCACACAGCACCATGCACGGAGCAGAGCGTCAGTCAGCGTGAAGCAGTGTGTGTGTGTGTGTGTGCGTGCATGTACACCTTTCTCTTCGTGCCTGTGTTACCTTCGGCGGCGCCGGCGCGGTTGCGGCGATGAGCAGCGCCAGATCGTGCATGACAGCATCGCCCTCGTACACCTGGTGACATAAACAGGGATGTGGGGTGAACAAAGAAGAAGAGAGGTGGAGTGAGAGGTGGTGGACAACAGCCCAACGCGTGTGTAATGGCTTGGCTTGATTGTGGTACACCTCGCGCACGCACACTCAAACATGTTCAAAGACAAGCAGGCGGGCAGGCATGGATGAGGAGGGAAGGCAATTTCACCTCGTGCAAGTGCTCAACAAAGGGGACAAGCGCCTTGCCCAACTTGCGCAGGATGCTGCAATTGCGATGTTTGGCGAACACAATGACAATGACAGGAGCGGTGACACATGTAATGCGCGCAGTGAGGGATGAGGGGATTAGAGAGCGCAGCAGTACAGTGCACACCACAAGGGCGAGAAATAGAGAGACCGAGACAGAGAGCAAGACGTGCACACAAGTACACATACATGCACGCACGCACAGATATGCACGCACACGTACACGCGCGCAGATGGGGCACACCTCTTGTGTCTGCTTCTGTGTTCGTCGATGGCCTTGAGGAGAATGGCGACAACTTCGACCAGCTGTCGCTTCTCATCTGCTCAGAAGTGAACACATCGCAACAGGGGGAAAACACACAACAGTGAGCCGCAACAGGGACTGAGCATACGTGTGCACACACGTGATCAAGCACACGTGTGTCCTGACGCACGAACATGTACACTCACACGCGTGCACATGTACTCGCGGGCGAAATGGATCCAATGCCACCCATCGCCACCGCCATCACCAACAACAACAACAACAAACAGCAAACAGCAAACAACAACAACACCGACACGACCATTTGTCCATCTTCCAACTCACCATCAGAGACGCGTTCAGCATCGCCGTCTTGCTCAAATGTGTCCAGCAGAACATCTGCATTTTCTTCGTCAGCGCCGCTGTCGGCGTGCTGTCGGCGTGAATGGTTGAGGTCGTGTGTGTGTGTGTGTGTGTGTGAGGAAAGGAGATGATTCAGCGCGGCAGTTGTTGGTCAAAACACTCCAAGACGTTGTTCATTCACAAACACAAACGCAAACACGCCCACATGCAAACACGCATACACACACGCACATCATGCACACATTCACTCAACGAAAGGACAAAGCAGGGGAGGGCAGGAAACGCACCACAATGTAGTTTGCGAGGATAACAATGAAGCGTGCAGCATCTGTGACGGCGACATCCGTGTGGAGGAGCAGCATGAAGAAGTGGCGGCACGCCAGCGGATAATTCCGCTGCAGCTCAATGCACCTGATGCACAATACACGGTGCACAGTGGTAGTGGTTACTCATGTGATGAGACATCTCAGACAACCCTTCCTATGAACAGTAACGCCATCCATCTGTCCACATACCCAAACCATCCATATCCATTCTCCCCATCAAACCAGCCATCAATCTACCCACCCCCGACAGCACATGTGTACCGTGTGATGCGCTCCTCATCGCCAGCAGCGCCGAGCGGGAAGAACGACGACGCCAGCAGCTGCACAATCTTGGTCGCGTTGGTCGCGTCCTCAAGCTCAAGGCGCGCCAGAAGGTGATCCACAGACACGACGTCAAAGAACTGCGCACAGGCACACATTGCAAACATACGCAACAATTAGGCATACAACACCACACGCACGCATGCGCATATGAGTGGATGAACGGATGAATGGATGAATGAATACGCACATACACATGGATACAGACACACAAACACAAACACAAACACACAGGAGCATTGGGGCCATGCACTTGAAGAGAGGGGACACAAGACGCAGAACATGGGCAGCAAATACAAGACAACACACACACACACGGCAAAACACGGCTGTCTTGTACCCACCCTGATGTTCTTAATGGGCCTGATAGCAATGAGCATGTCAAGGAAGGCAGCGCGGACGCGGCGGGAGGTGTCGTGCAGACTCGCAGACACGTGCGGCAGCAGCCCTTTCATCGTCATCTGCTCATGGCGATTGCCATGTCCACAGAGCGTGGATGATTTCGGGGGGGGGGGAGGGGTGAGTGGACGTGTTTGCCAGTTGTGTGCGTGTGCGTGTGTGTGCTGTACACAAAATGGAAGTGGAGGAAAACAAAACCACATTCGCAAGCAAACACGCACGCAAACACGCACACACACACACGCTCTCTCTTATCTAAAACACAGCAGAGAAAGAACACATTCGGGCGTACGCGTGAGAGCGGGTTGTCGAGGATGAACGAAAGGCCTTTGAAGACGGACACGCGGACATCCGGCGACGCTTTGTCTCTGCGCGAAAACAAAACATTGGGAGAAGGGGAGGGGTTTGTTCGTGGTGTGTGATTTCTTTTCCGCAACAACATCTGCAGCACCAACAGTGCGCCGGCATGCGAGTACAGGGGCGCGCACCGTGCAAGGTCCTTGATCAGTTTCCCGAGGAGGGTGGAGGTGGTCTGGGCCGGAATGAGCTCCCAATACGTCGACAGGATGCGACAAACGCCCTCCACACCTGATGAACAAGGAGACAGGTCCATTGATCAGCACGCAGGGCACAGTGACATGCACAAGGATTCAAACAAGGTGGCGTGGTCGTGACCAGAATGAAACCAAACAAATAGACACACACGCACACTCACTCGGACCCTTGGTCGCTCACTCACTCCTCACACAGTCACACACACACACAACACCCCCCCCCCCACGCACAACAATATGTGCGAATGAAGAGCAAGGCATGATGTAGATGGCGCACCGATGCGGCGGACGAGAGGACTGCTGTCCTCCAGGAACCGGCCGCACACCTCAAACTGCTTCTGCAGCAGCCTGCAGCGATGTACATGGCGGAGGAATACATGGCTGTGTGAGGACACGCAGTTGCAGGTCAGCGCCACAAGCAAGACCATAATTCACACAACAACCCAACTGCCAACAACAGTCCACACAACTGAACAGCAACACCACCACCACCACCACCACCACCACCACCATCACCACCAACGGCCGGGCTACGTACTCCTCGCGCTCCTGTCGCAGCGCCTGCGGGTCCTGCAGGGGAAATGCGGCAAAGAGGAGCGAGGCCGCGTTTGCGCGAACAATCGCGTTGGCAACCTGTGTCGACCGCCAAATGATTGGGTCGTACAGCCGCGTCAGCATCTCGTCCACCCCACGCTCCTTCTTGTTGGTGTGAAACACATCAAGCAGCGCAAACGCCACGTGGAATGCGCTCCTGCGTGGCAGCGCGGCCTGGCGCCGGGCGTGCACTGCACACACCATCAAGTCCTGGTGGCAAAGAGGTGATGGGGCGTTGCAGGTGCGGATGTGCAAACGTCCCATTGTGAGAATGAACACAACAGCAATTTGCATTTGCAGGAACGCCACGTGACAGTGTTACAAAAACAAACGCAGATTTCAACGCAAGAGTCACCGCTACGATCATCGTCATCATCATCATCATCATCATCATCACCTGGATGCAGTCGCGCTCGATGCGTGCGTGTGCGGCGGCGGCGGAGTTGCGCCACGCGCGGTAAAGAATCTGCCCGTAGCCGTCGAGCAGACGCGACGAGCAGTGCGGCAGCGTGTCCTTCACCGCAGCCCAGATGGCACCAATGAACCTGGCAGGCACACGGATGGATGGATGTTGGAGGTGGGAAGGGCGTGTGAACTTCAGACGAGGGGCAAATCAAAGGATGGTCGGTAAAACAAAAGTGCGCGTCTGTCTCGCCGACAGACACAAAAACACAAAATCAAAACACGCAAACACAAACAGACGCACAGACGCACACACACAATCACCCCCCAATCCCCGTCACTGTGACAGTGCGTACTCTGTGTTGAGTCCAAAGATGAAACTGAGAAACCGCTGTCCTTCCAGGAGCGTCACAAAGTTTGGATTGACAAATGCTTGCAGCAGCAGGCCCTGCACCGCACACAAGATGTCGTGATGGGTGGGAACACGTGAGGTGATGCCGATGTTCACGCTAATGAGGTCCATCGCCCAAGTCTCTCCACACAGGAAAGAAACGCACTGACACGCGCATCATGGAAACGCACGAATGCACACAAACACAAACACAAACACACGACTCATACCCACACATACACATACTTAAACACAAACACACGCAAGTACACACATGCCCACACATACACAAACACACACGCAAGTACACACATGCCCACACATACACAAACACACACGCAAGTACACACATACCCACGCACATACAAACACACGCGCAAGTACACACATGTACTCATACACATACACCCACGCATATACAAACACATACACATGTACGCACCCGGAGCGATTCGCTGGAGTCTCCACTGAGATCAATGAGTTCAAATGCGTCGCGGATGGCAAAAACGCGCTTGACTGCGGCCGATTTCGCATCGACAACCAGCGCCCGCACCAGCAGCTGCGAGACTGTCAGTGGCACAAGAAGGTCCCGGCCAGGGAGGTCGGCGAACCACCATGCTTCACAGACCTTCACAATCTGGTCACGCAGGCTGTCGCTCCCCGTGGGAAGACTGAAGAGCGACTCTACGGGGAGTAACAGGGCGACAGAAGAGGGGGAATACCAGCATATACCAGCATGGCCATGAAAAAAATAGCGTGGGATGAGAGAACGAAATGTAAACGCATACGATGAGGAAGAGACCATCAACAGACTGTTCATGCATGCACGCAGCCTCACGCAACAATTGTTCACATACACAGCGGAGGCCGCAAAACACAACCACTGCACTGTCACACTCGCACACACACACACGCATCCACACGCGCGCGCGCATCCACACGCTCACACATATCCACACATTCACGCGCATCACACCCCAACACCAAGCATCACCCCCCCCCCACAAAAAGTCTCCCGAGCTCGGCCCATACCATGGAGGATGCGTGCGCACTGCAAGGTGTCGTCTGTGGTGTGCGGTTTGTCTTCAGCGACAGCGGCTGTGAGGAGCACAGCCGTCGCTGCAAACACACGCAGCGCATCAGCAGCACCCTGTCCCGCCAACGCACCATGATTGGCGTTGATGTTTGGCACACATGTATGTGTATTTGTGAGTGTGAGCGTGTGTGAGTGTGCGTGTGTGTGTGAGTGTGTGAGCGTGTGTGAGCGTGTGCCAGGGACACCAACAAGGAGACTTTACCTTCATCCTTCCACTTCCACCACTCATTGCAACGCTAAGCACCACGGACAAACGGGCAACCACCTTGCAACCACACACACACAACCCATCAAAACCCACATCACATGATGTCACACCACATCGCACCTGCTCAAGGTCCTCTGTCTTCTTCTGCGCAATCAGATCACCGTCCACATACCGGTCAAACAGCGGCCCTGATGAACACACAACAGAGACAAGATGGGGATGGTCGTGATGGCAGTGATGGCCGTGGTGAATGGGTGAGAATTATGCAAGTGTGAGATACCTGTTCCCAGGCGTAGCACCTGCAAACGACAGCGCTTCCGCGCCAACAACAACAACACATATGCACACATATGCACATATACACACATATACACACACGAGCACGTGAACGCACAGAGTGTTGTGCGGAGGGCGGACCAGAGGCGGCCCTGCTGCGCGCGTGGCATCGACGTGAGTGCATCGCACATGTCAAACGGGTCGCTCCGGTCAGTCTGGGTACGCACACACACGCGCACACACGCACACGCACACACGCGCACACGCGCGCACACACACACAAGCAAAAGTGAGCAAGGTGATGGTGGCATGTTAATGGGAACAGCAGCAAGGGTTCTGACAGCACAAGCACACACGATACATCAAAGCACAAAAGGGCGAGTGCAAGTGGACGGACATGCTGTGTGTGGAGTGCGATGAGCGCTGGTGCCGATGCCACCGCGGCCTGCAACTGCTCCTTGTGTTTCTTCAGTGCCGCCTTTGCCTTGCGCGCATCCTGCTTGTTGACGGTCACGGAGGCACGTGCGCCAGCTTTCTTCGCCCTGCTGCGGTCACCTGCCTCATCATCCGTGGTTGTCGTGGTATCGACACCAACGGTTGGTTCAGCGGCCATGGTGCTCGTCTTCAAGACGTTACCCGTTGCTGGATTGACAGCCACACTTGTTGTTGCTTCTGCTGTGGATTCAGGGATGCTCACATCCTTGCTGCTCTTGGTCTCAGCTGCCTGCTTGTTTTCTTGCTTCTGCTTCTCCTCCCCCTTCTTCTTTCCTCTCTGCTGCGCGCTCTTCTCGGCAATGGTGGCGGCCTTCTTGCTGCCCTTCTTGGTTGACACACTGCTGCCCTTTGCTACCCCAGCTGATGGCGCGTCTGCAATTGTAGCTGTGGCAGCAGTTTTGTTCGCTTGACGTGTCTGTCTCGCTGGCTGCTGCTTCACCGGCGATGCGCACAGGATATCGTCATCATCCTCAGCACCCTCCTCATCACCTGCACCATCGCCAGCAGTAGAAGATGACACAGGGGTTTGCTTGCTTGCAGCAGCTGCCTCGCTTGCCTTGCTCCGCGTCTTGTTGCTGTTGGTGTTGCCGCCGCTGCGGTTGTTGGCCCGGCGCGCTTGGCGGCTTCTCGGAGCTGGAGATTCGCTGAGCAAGTCGTCGGTCATGTTGAGAACGTCGTCTTCCTCGCCCTCATCCTGCAGGTGCTCGTTTGCACGTGCCGCCTGTGCTTTGCGGCCCTTGGGGTTCTGGGTCTGCTTGCGTTTCTGCTGTCCATGCTGCTTGGCGGACGACGTTTTGCGCTTGGACGCGGCTCCACTGGCTGCTGGCGCCGCACTGCCTGGCTTCGTTTGTGCGCTGTTCCGGCTGCGCAGCACGGATGCTGTTGCCAGAGACGCATTTCGTGTGCTTGCACGCGCTGATCGACGGGTTGCCGGCGTGTCTGCTGGGGCGATCATCGACACGGATGGCGATGGCAGAAGCACATCGTGCATGTACTCATCACTGACGTCCTTGCCCTGGACGCTCTGCGCGGCCCGCTTGCCGGCTCCACCGCCCCGCACTTTCGGGGTTGACGTGCTTTGCGTTGTAGCAGTTTGCTGGCTTCCCACAGCCAGTCGCTGCGAGCGACGGCGTCCACTCATCCTGGGCTGCTCTCGCTGCGTGGGTGATGGATGCTGTAGTTGAGGTGGCTGGCTGGCTGGTGGACTCTTTGAGTCGCTGCTGTCTGTTGTGGATTGAGAGTGGCTTTTCAAACGGTTGGCGGTTACCGTTATCGCCGAAAATTTTCTTACACATTCATGAAATGTCCACAATGAAGGTGTTTGGTTTAGCTTGCTTGTTCTGTTTGTTTGTTGTGGGCGAAGCTCTTAAGCTGGGTTGCGAGCTCGCGCCACCCAGCCACAGCACGCACCACCAAGCGACAAACAATACACAGCAAAGGCAGCATCCCACCTCCAATGAGAACAATAAACGTGCACGTGTGTGTGTGTGTGTGTGTGTGTGTGTGTGTGTGTGTGTGTGTGTGTGTGTGTGTGTGTGTGTGTGTGTGTGTGTGTGTGTGTGTGTGTGTGTGTGTGTGTGTGTGTGTGCTCTGAAAGGGGTGGAAGCAAAGCAAATAAAAGGTAGACCACACGTACACAAAGAGGGAGCGGAGCGAAGGTAGCCGTGGACAAAGTGAGAAAACAACAAGCAGAGGCAAGCAGATGTAGGAAACCACAATGACTGTCCCTTGACTCAACGCCGTCAACAACACGGCAAAGCTAACAGAAAAGCTCTCATCAACCTCATCAATCGGCCCCATCAATCAAATCAGCTAACATGGCAATGTCTACGCGAATTCCACCCCACAACTGCTCACCCTCTCCATGAAACCTCTCTGCAATCACCGCAACCATGACATTCGCCCCCTTTGCCTTCACCTTCGCCTCTTCCTTCACGTTATTCGCCTTCATGCATCTGCGTGCCTGGAGAGCGTGTGGTCCTCATACGCCGTGTTGGCCAGCAAACGGCGTGGAGGGGGCTCCGCGTATCCAGAGTTGGCAGCGAGGCGCCCGGCACGCGCCGCGTTGGCGGGCTCCTTCCGTGGAACGTCGTATGCATCGCTCTCATCATTCAGCTGCACGGTTGGCGAGGCATACGTGGGCACACCGACGATGGTTGCGCTGCCACTGCCGCTGCCGTTGCGAGAGAGGTGGCTGTACACCATCGGGTCTGCCGCGTGCGCGGAATACGACCGCCCCCGCCCTGATTCGTCGAGTGCAGAGTACTCCGGCTGCACCGGCGCCATGGCCGGCGGGCCCTGGTACACGGGGTTGACAACAGATGTGGAGGGCCCAGACGCGTGGCGATCAAGCACCTTCCTGTCATGGGACCGCCGCACGGCCAGCACAACGACGACGATGATGACGACCAGGACAACGGCGCCAGCAGCAATGCCGCCCCATGTGGCAGCGGAGATGCTGGTGGCGGTGGACTGGCTCGCAGCCGGGTCGAGGGTTGTAGTCATGCTTCCTGTTGATGCCAGGAAGGAGGACGAGGGCGTACAGTTGCGGCCGCCGTTGTCGCTCACGTGACCGGCGATGCAGCTGCAGTTGTACGTGTGCAGCCCTGTGCGGGTGCACTCCGCGTTTGCCCCGCACACGTTGTCGATCGAGCACGGGTCCACGGGCTGAGATGGAAGAAGTGGGGAGTGGGAGGGGAGAGAAAATGTGGACGAGGAGTGGTCAGGCAGTGAAGCGATGGTGACGGGATGGGTGAGATGTGAGTGAGATGATGAAGAGGTGGCGCGACAGAAGCACGATGTGGCGCCAAACTGCAAGGGCATGCATGAGCAGGCGCTGTGCTGACCTCGCACGGCGTGTTCGGTGGATCGCCGGCAAAGCCAGACCGGCACACACACGAAGCCAGGTCAGGGCCGTCAAACAGGCACCTGGCATGTTGAGGAGAGGAGATAAACGGGTCGCTCGGGTAAGTGTGGTGGATGGATGGATTGTCGTGGTGCATGTGTGTGTGTGAAACGCGCCACAGACTGCGCCACAAGTGTGCACTGGTTGAAGCACACACAGAAGAATAACAACGCACCCCGACGTGTGCCACTGACCTGGTTGAGTTTTCAAACCCGCAGCCGCCGTTGTCGGTGACGCATGGGTTGATGGGGAAGCAGTTGCGCCCCGTGGTGGACGTGTACCCTTCGTGGCACGTGCAGTTTCGCATCTCGGGCCCAGTGTGGATGCACCTGTGGTCGTGATGTTGTGTGTGTGTATGTGTGTGTGTTGTGCGTGTGTGTGTGTGTGTGTGTGTGGTATGCGTGTGAGATTTTGTGTGTGGATGTGTGTATGTGTGTGTATGTGTGTGCATGTGTGTGTGTGCGTGTGCGTGTGTGTGAATGCATGTGTGTGAGTGTGTGTGTGAGTGCACCAAACACTTCAAACTCTTCGACTCGTGCAGCTTGGGCATGTGCACCAACATTCAACACGTTGCCCAACTCAATCTGTTTCGCACTCACAGCGTTGTTGATGCAGGTCCACACTGGCCGTTGTCTTCCTTACACGGGTTGATTGGCTGAAGGCGTGTTAGAGGGAGAAGAGAAGACGCATGAGCGAACGGTTGAGGGTCGGAGTGAATGCGACAATGGATTGTTGTTGAAAGAACACGGACAGGACGCACACGTCCCAAACACCCAAACACGAAGCCCACGCACACGCAGTACATACGCAAGACAAGCATTCACACGCACACACACACACAGCAAACGTAGTACATGCACAAACATGACCCACCGTGCACTCCACGCTGTTTGGTGAGAGCTTGTCGTATCCGGGCAGGCATTCACATGTGTGCTGCCCCGGTCCCCTGTACACGCACGTGGCGAAGATGCACCCGCCGTTGTCCGTCTCACACGGGTTGATGGGCGTACACGCCTGTTGTTGTTGTTGTGAGGTGATGTTGTTGTGAGGTGATGGTTGAAGGGTTAGACAAGTGTGTGTGTGTGCCTGATACGCTGTGCAGCGAGTGATGTTGACACATATGGGTACGACAGGCGGTTGCGCTTCAATCAGTGGCACACACACACACACACACACATATGCAAATACATACGCACACACACACACAGGTCTGCAACGGCCACAATGACGCACCGCCCCTGTTGAGGACTCATAGCCATCGTCACACGTGCACTCGTGCTGCCCAGGACCTGTTGCGTGAATGTGCGCACGCGTGTGTGCGTGTGCGTGCGTAGGATTTCAATGTTAGTGAGGGGAGAGGATGATGGTAGACGTTCTCCTGCAACACGCAGCAAAGGGAGCAGAATGCGGACATAATGACTCACACACACACACACACACACACACACACACACACACACACACACACACACACACACACACACACACACACACACACACACCTGTGAAGGAGCAAGTTGAGTGAACGCCACAAATATCTGTTGGAGTGCCATCGTGTGTGACGCATGGGTTCACGGGCTGGCAATCTGTGTTGTTGGGGTTGTGCGGTGCGTGGTAGCCCGGCAGGCACTCGCACCGAGACGTGCCGGCTGATGATGGTTGAAAGGGCAGCGAAGTGAAGTGCAGTGCGGTTGGGCTTTGGGGTTGAGCATGTGTAAACGAAAACAGCCATGCACGAGCCTGCGTACACGCACAAACACGCACACACACACGCACACACACGCACACACGCACACACGCACACAAACACACAGATGAACTCACGTCCTGTGTAGATGCACGTGGAGTTGTCGCCGCAAAGCGTGGGCGTGTCCTCGCACGGGTTGACAACATCGCAGCTGCCGCCGTCCGCTCCGTCAAACCCGGGCTTGCAATCGCACTCGTTCGTGTTAGGACCCATGAAGCGACACAGCTGCGTGTTTGCATCACAGCCGCCGTAGCCCTCCTTCTCGCACGGGTTGATGGGCCGGCAGTCCGTGTTCTCGGCGTTGGCAGACTCGTAACCCTCAACACACGTGCAGTGAAACTTGTCTGGACCATCATACACGCAGAGGGAGTTTTCGCCACAACGGCCTGGAACATCCTCGCAGGGGTTGATTGGGTCGCAGTTCGAATGGTCACTCGTGCTCGCAAACCGGTACCCGCCCTTGCACGCGCACTTGCTCTCGCCAGGGCCAAGATACGTGCACCTGCAGCCGTGAGGGTGGGGATAAGTGGGCGTTTGTGTGAGAGTGAGAGTGAAAGGGAGTGTGAATGTGTGTGGGTGGGTGTGTGGTTATGTGTGTGTATGTTTACGTGTGTGTTATGTAGGTGAGTGTGAATGAGAGACAAAGGGCAAAAGCGCACTCAGTCAGATGCACACACGTGTACACATACGTCTGCGCGCAAGAAGATGCATCAAGAAGCAATGCACAATTGGGCAACCAAACACACAGTCACTCACACTCCGTGCTGCTTGTCGCATCCACCAAAGGTTGACGTTTGGCAGGGGTCGATGGGAAAGCAGTCCTTTCCCGTGTCAGACTTGAATCCGTCCAAACACTGGCATTGCACTTCTTCATCGCGCACACACGTGCACGAGGTCGATTGTGCTGGGCCGCAGTCACCGTTGTTGCTCAGGCACAGGTCGGCTTTGGGCGAGGAGATCGAGCCAAACAAGTGACCGGTTGTGTGTGTGTTGTAAGTGGACACAACAAGATGGAGAGAATCGCGATCGCACACACGCACACACATGCACACATGCACGTACAAGCACGCACATGCACATACAAACACACACACACACATAGAGTCGCACAATCACAGAAGCCAGTGGGGCGTACTTGGTGTGTAGTTGATGGTGACGTCGATGTATTTGTTGTCACCGTCAAGGTCGAAGCGGTGGTCGCGGGAAACCGGGTCGCATCCATCGAACGTGAAGCTGTCCGTGTCACGGCCAAGCTGATTTGGTTGAAACAGAACAGAGCAACAGAGAGGCACGAGGGACCGGGCGTGAACATGGTACGTTTGTTCGTACTCGTGGCGGGTGTAATAGATAGATGCAACATGTTGGCTTGCAAGGCATTGCTGGAATCAAGAAAGTAGGAACACAACTACATCGGACACCGAACTCACATCATCCGTGTCGCCCCATTCGTTGACATACAAAAAGCCGTCCAGATCGAAAGCGTGAAGCTCCACCGAGAACTGCATACAGAAATGAGATGCTCAGGATGAGCAAAAGCGTGAAGCGAATGGCGAATAGACGGAATGAAGAACAACCGCAAGCAGAGAATGCAAGCACGCCAACTCACCGTTGATGGGATGTCCGTGTTGGGGAACTCAAGCGTCTCATGCCATGCAGGAGAGTTGTCGTCCTCATCTTCAGTCGTGTGCATCCAGCCTGCATAACCAGGCACCCTCACTTCCACCACGGGGTCGCTTTCCCCACGTGGCCAGCCGTCTCTGTCTTTGACCTTCCCACCCTTCACCAGCACAGATACCTTCCCAGCTGATGAAAGAGGCCAGGAACGCGATGTGAGCAACAGGTGGCACCCTCCTTTCAACAAAAGACGACGCCACGACCAAGGCCACAGAAGGACCACAGCAGGACCACAGCAGGGAGGAGGGTGTGTGACTCAAGGACTCACTCACCCCGAACAAGTGTCGAGCAGGTGGCGATGAAGGCAATCGCGAGCGGTAACAACAGCAGTTTCATCTTGAACGTCCTCTTCCAAGTTGCGAGTCGTTCGTGTCGTTGTCACAGGTCCTGTCTTTCGTTAGGGTGGCTCCCTTCCTCTTCTTCTTCACGCACGGTTGGCTCGGTCGAGCTCAGTCGCTGCAGTCGCGCAGGCGAAAGCGCCGACTGCTCTGACTGCTGTCCGCACACGCCTCCAACAAACACAAACAACACCCCTTTGCCAGCCCAAATCTCGTTGCTTGTCTCTTGCTTGGCGTGTCGAAAAATGGTGATCATCTTTCACAAAACGCAAAACATGATGTCATTCGCTGGCATTTGGTTTCGAGCAAGCAAGCAAGACCAGCAACGATGTTGATCGTGTGTTGTATCGAACACACATCACACATCACACACGCACACACATCACACATCACACATCATGTCACACATCATATCAAGAAGAGTGGTCTGCGCGCTTTGAAGCAGTCTTGGGCTCTTCGGGCCGGCTGGTGACGCAACAATGAGACACAACATCGCAAACATGGCATGCACGTGAGCGACATTGGATGGGTGTGGTGTGTGCACATGCACCTCGCACCAACCAAAACCACTCACCACTCAAAGAGCAGCACCCACCCCCTACCTTCCTCCCTCACCCCCCTGGGCCAACCAAGAAAACGCACCGCTTCCCAGCGCGGGCCTTTGGACCCCAGTTTGGCGCCGGGTTCTCTGGATAGCGGACGAGGCCGTCAAGCTTGGACCTGGGCTGCGCTGCCTTGTTGTATGTAAAGTCAATCTCCGTCCTGTGGTGCAAGAGGAGAGGGGAGGGGAGGGAAGGTGGCGTGGGGGGGACAAAGCACGTGGGGGAGGTGGAGCGTAGAGGAGGGTGGGTGGGGGAGAAGAGGTATGTGAGATTCGGACATACAACACGTGCGCGGAATGTGGTGAGCCAGGACAAGTCGAGTGTGGGATGAGAAGGCAATGCAATGAAGCCACATTTGGAGACGTGAGGACACAGATATACGGGCCAGTGACACGGACGTTGGTGCTCCCTTGAGTATCTTTGAGGCGGGTGAGTCCTTCGACAGCACTTTCTCGCTCACCGGGTTCTTTCGCACCTGAATACGCATGGAGAGGGCAGAGGAATTTAGCAACGGCTGGCACACGCCCAGCACCGCGTGTGCATTCAACACGAGCACGTTTGCGCTGCATAGCAGCGCTGTTATGCGTGTGCATGTGCGCGTTTATGTGGAATGTGCGTCAATCTGTGTGCGTGCGTGTGAGAGTGTGTGCATTTAAGTGGCGAGTGTACTTGCATATTGGCGCACCCATGTTCTGTAGATGTCCCACATGACGTGCGGCGGGGCCGTGGTCTTGATGCCCTGCGCGGTGCAGTGCGTCGGCGACACCTCATATCCGGCATTGACAATCGCAGACCTGCATCGGCGATAGCAAATATCGACAGCGGTTGGGGGTGGCGTTCATTAATGGTTGGGGAGGAGGAGGAGCTGTGTGTGTGTGTGCCTGTGGTGTGTCTATGTGTCTGTCTGTGTGTCTGTGTGTCTGTGTCTGTGTGTCTGTGTTGTTCTCGACGTGGTGTTGTTGCGGTCAGTTGTGCCACAGCAGGCATGTACAGCATGCAGAGTGATTCATAGTCCCATTCACACACATACACATACATACACACGTGCGCGTGCTGCAACTGTGGTTGCCACCAGCACCTGATATCGGAGTGGGGCGGGCACTGGCAGTGAAGAATGCTTGCCATCCCGCTCACCGTGTAGTACAGCGGTGTCGGCAGCTCCTGCCATCAGGACACGTTTCGTGCACGAACAAGATGCATGAGGATGTGAGAATGTGAGAATGTGTGTGTGTGTGAATGCGTGCGAGTGCGTGAGAGTGGGAGAGAGAGGATGTGAGAATGTGTGTGTGTGTGAATGCGTGCGAGTGCGTGAGAGTGGGAGAGAGAGGATGTGAGAATGTATGTAATGTATGTGCGTGTATATGTGTGTGCATGTGTGTGCGTATGCGTATGTATTTGTGTGTGCGCGTGAGTGGCATTCGAACCCCACGAGCATTGCAATCGATAATTCACTTCACCGCACCTCCCCCCCCCACTTCGCACCTCCTTGCAGAGGGAGAGCATGCCCTTCATGCGCGTCTCTGTGGCGTATTTGCCCTTGTTGGAGGACATGTGGTCCAGGCATTTTGAAATGAACTCGCCGTCGTGCATGGGGGCGCTCCAAAACGGGCCTCCCATCTGCACATGATGCAATGACAGATGGTACACAAAAGGGGTCGTGAGAACAGCAGCAATTAATGCACCCGTAGACGCACAAACACGCATACACAATGAAAACACAAACAGAGGTAGGTGCGGGCACTTCAAAGTGCCAGGTGCTCTTCGTATGCAGCCAGAGGCAGCCAGAACATGAACCGCCACCTCTGCCTGCCAGGCGGTTGCCAATCTCACGTGGTAGATGCGACCGCAGTCTGCGCAGTGGGAGCCAATATCAAGAGCGTGGCCGGGGGTGTACTTGGTCCCGCCCCTGCACACACGAAGCCACATTCACACACACATACACGGATGCACAGGCAAAGAGGTGCGGTGGCGGCGGTGTGGTGGTGAGGGCGAATGATGAGGGAGTGTGCATGCAGTGGCCGAGACACACTCACTCACACGTGCGCACGCATGCACACACGCGCGCATCAAACAACCAACAGTCCAAGGAAAGCATGCCATGGCATGCCAAGATGTGTGTCGCACTTCTTGGTTGAGGCGGTGCGGCCGAGTGGGGCGACGTGGAACGACTGGCAGCCCGTGCACTGGAACACCTGGCACATCTTCCTGCAATTTTGGTTGAGGGTATGGGGTGTGGGCATGGGTGTGGGTGACAGCGTGGTGTGAGAGGGGGGGGGCAACGTAGCATGGTGTGGCGCAGTTACGACGGAGAACAGACAGGGCATCCATTCAACGCTCACGTACACAGTCCGTGATGGTGACGTAGAAACGCAAACACGCACACAAGAAGCAGGTACGTACGTACACACACACACACACACAAGAAGCAATCAATTGGAGACACGCACGTGGATGCCTCCTTCGCTTTGGCGGCGCCGTCAAACACACGCACAAACACGCGGCAGTAGAAATCAATCGAGCACGACAGCAGCTGCAGCAACGCGATGGTGGTGATGGTGGTGATGGTGGTGTGACAAAAATAAGCGAGGTGGTAACAAACACTCGCAAAACGAGCACACACATTAGCCTTAACAAGCACATTCAACACTCCTCGCTCGACAGTTGACAAACACACAGGTGGACACACAACACATGCGTGCGCACGGCACGCTCGAGGTGCACATGTGCAGTGATGGAAGCACACCGGGTGGATGTAGCGTCCGTAGCGGGTGGCGAGGCGGGACGTCAGCGCAAGCAGCGTGCGCACACCCTAGCGTGTGCGGAGAAGGGGGGGGGGCGTCAGACATTCAGTTGCTCAAGTGGGAAGACGAGACGCAGCGCAACACAAACACAAACACAAACACAAACACAAACACAAACACAAACACAAACACAAACACAAACACAAACACACAAACACGACACAGCAGCACGTTTTACCATTTCGTGGCAGTGCTGGCGCTTTGCGGGCATGGATCCGTACTTGGCAAAACACGTCTCCGGGTAGTTGCCACAGAGGACAGCCATATCCGTACATGTGATGCACAGCAGGCCGCCGCTGCTGACAGATTGCACCGCAGCATCAAGGAACGGCGACGCCGAGCCATATGGGTCGAGGTCAACAACGTCAAACTTGCTGCCTTTGCTCCGGTGCTCGTGCATCACCATGCTGCCACCAGAGCATAGTTGAGGGGTTGAGGGAGGGGGGTGATGGTGGGGTGGTGCAGGGGCGGCGAAGGTTAGAAAACAACGTTTGGTGCTCGCGGTTGTATGCCACATTCATCCACACAAGCACAGGAGCGTGATCCCCTAAAAGAGAGAGAGAGAGAGATGTAGAGATGTGTGTGTGTGTGAGTGTGTGTGTATGTGTGTGTGTGAGTGTGAATGTGTGTGAGTGTGTGTGTGTTACCAGGCGTCGCCATGGTTTGGGATGACGTGGTGGTGCGGGTCGAGGTGGTTGTAGTCGACGTTGCGCCGAATGGACTGCACCGCCTCCTCGGAGAAGTCGTTGCACACGATGCGGGAGATGGTCGGGATCTCCTTGTGATACCTGTAGCAGCGCGGCGTGGCGTGATGGAGTGTACATGTGCACCGAACAGCATGATGTGAGCACTCAAACCAAGAGCCTACAAAAGACCACACGCAAAACATAACCGCACTTCCACACACTCGTACACACTCATACACATTTGTATACACACTTTATTCACACCCATGCGCTCACGCACGTGCACCCCACGCACGCGTATGCGACCTGATGGAGCGCAGGCCTGATGCGGCCAGCGCCTCCAGCACGGAGATGCCGTGCTCGCTGCGGTCAAACCCGGCGTCCTGCGGTCCGCGCCACGCAGCCAGACGTGGGTGCTCTGCCGCGTGCTCCTGCAGGAATGTGCTGGATGACGCGTCTGGTGGCGCTGCTGCCGTTGTCGTTGTCGTTGTCGCTGTTGTGGTGGAAGAGGAGGAGGAGGAGGAGGATGGCTTGGTGGGCGTGGCTGTGCTGGTGTCTGTGTCGCTGCCCTTCGCGGCATTTGCTGCTGGCTCGTCACTCTTCTGTTCGCCCAGGCGCCGAACGAGCTTCTTTCGTGCCTTCTCCGAGCGCTCGTTCAGATACCTACCATGACGTGCGCACAGTTGGCGCGTAACAGCATGCATGTAAGGCCAAGGTGACTGTTATTTCTTGCAAGGGACATCGCCACGTTAAGGGAACCACCTCCAAGCAAGCCATGCTGTGTGCACTGAACACGTGTTACAGAAGCCTGCCCAAGCATAGCAACTCACTGCTCTGCAAACGCCGTGATGACGCAGGTGCTGAGGTCGCGGTTGAACACCTGCAGACGCCAGCGACCGGCGACCATGTGAACATTCATATGTGTGTGTGCGCGTGTGTGTACATGTGTGCGTGCGTGTGTGTGTGTGTGTGCATGTGTGTGTGCATGTGGCGTGACTGATGAACACCAGATGTGGCAGGGTATTTATGACACACCACAACTGACCTGCACGGGGTTGTAAAACACTTCATCACTGGACGGAAACAGGATTGTGGCCTCGCCCTCTGTGATCTTCACAAAGCCTGAACACACGCGTTGTTTGCATGTGAATGTGGGTGGGTGTGTTGGTGGATGGGTCAGCGTGAGTGCATGCGTACGCAGGTGAGAGTACGCGTACGCAGTCGCGCGAGTGTGTGTGTGTGTGTGTGTGTGTGGCACCATCAAACCTGAACGCCCTTCTCCAACACACACACACGCATACAAGCGTGCACACACACACCATCTGGGGTTGCTGGGCGCTCTGCGGTGGAAGCAGTGGCTGTTGATGACATGGTGGGGGGTTGCCCTAGTGTGGTTGTTGACAAGCGTGCACGCTGCACCGCTACTACTGCTGCTGCTACTGCTGCTGCTGCTGCAGTTGGTACTGCTGCTGTGACTGCTGTTCTACTCTGTGCCACGCACAACTGCCGTGCAAGCCCACTGCTAACCACTCGCCACAGCCTCTGCTGCTGCTGTCGGAACAACCACACCGCGGCGTTGTTGGTGATGGTCGTCTGCTCACTTGCTTGCAGAGAGGAAAGACAGCACACCACCGTACTTCTTGCTGGTTGTGGCTGGTTGCTGCCTTTTGTTCCTTGCTTCCCACACGTGTGTTGAATGATGAGTCATCCACTACAGTTTGTGCTGTTGTTTCCAATTTCTCGTCAGCTGTCTGTGGCTTGCTGCTTTCTGCTTTCGTTGCTGGCTGGTGTCGCTGCCGCTGCTTCCGTCCACCACGACCCATCCATCCACATCCACGCACGTCGCGCCGTCCGACGTCGTCTTGCTGACAGACAGACACCAGACAAACAACGGCCGGCTGCATCCATCGTTGAGCGACACCTTTGTTTGTTTGGGTGTTGAGACACACACACACACCAAATTGTGTTTTTGTTGATTCAACGCAACAATGTCATCAGAATACATGAGGTATGATGCGTGCTTGTTTGTGTTTGTTGTGTCCCTGTCGCAGCGTGTACTTTTGTGGCGGTTGGCGTGCGTACTTCCATGTGGTCGTGGTTTTGTGTGTGCATGTGTGCGTGTGTGTATAAGGTCTTGCTAGCTGTGCTCCACCGCGCCCCAACTGTGTGCTCCAACAATGCTTCCTTCCAATACTCACATCACAACCAATCAATCCTACACACCTGTTAACGAAGGAATGCGTTTGGCGACACGGATCGCCCAAACCGGTACCAGGACAACTCGGACCTGTACGCACGCGATGACCAGGCGCTGTTGCAGGAGGAGGATGACATGATTGGACGTACGTTTGTGCAAGGGTGGTTGTGGCTCGCGGTGCTTGTGTGCCAACTGATGCGTAGTTATGCGCACAGGAAGGTGACGTTTCCCAATACAGACGCGCTGCAGGTCTTCCCTCACCACTCAAGTCCCGCGTGCTTGATGTGCCTTTGTTGTGCCTTTTTTTCGTTGGTTGAATTGTAGAGCAAGACCAGGCGCTCGGGCGCATCGCAGACACAGCCAAAGTATTGCAACATTACGGCCGACAAATTGGCGATGAGGTCGACGATCAACTCGGTACGAACTATGTGTGTATCTGTGTATTTGTTTGTTTGTGTGTGTGTGTGTGCATCTGTTTGTGTGTGTATGTGTGTGCATCTGTTTGTGTGTCTGTGTGTGTGCATCTGTTTGTGTGTGTGTGTGTGTGCATCTGTTTGTGTGTCTGTGTGTGTGCATCTGTTTGTTTGTGTGTGTGTGTGCATCTGTTTGTTTGTGTGTGTGTGTGATGTGTGTGCATCTGTCTGTCTGTCTGTCTTTGTCTGCCTATCTGTCTGTGATGTGTGTTTGTTTGTGTACGTGCGTTTCTTTGCTCTTTCATCTCCAAAAACCCTACAAATGTAACTCTCGCTCTCTTAACATGTGGCCTCGATGGTGCCTGTTGTGATGGTGCTCAGACATGATGGAGGACTTGGAGGATGGCATGCATCACACAAGCAAGCGCCTCAAGCGAGAAACACAACACGTCGAATACGTCCGAAACAAGGCGGCAGCAGGAGGTCGGACATTGTTGCGCGCACATCTCTGTGTTTGTATCTGTGTCTGTGTTTTGTCTGTCTGTCTGTCTGTGTCTGTGTCTGTGTGCATATGTCCGTGTGTACGTTTTGGTTTTTGTGTTTTTGCCTGCCTGTTTCCAGCTTTGCCACAACGTCACCGTTTAAGCGCCCATGTATCGCTCACATCTCCATCCACCATCACGGCCACACCAACGATCCCAGGCATGATGTGCTGCATCTTCCTGCTGATTGTCGCAATTGTTGTCGTCGCCATTGTCCCGTTCTGATGCCTCCACCCCCCCCCCTTTCCGCGTCAACGTCATTCATGTCGATGCTGTCCAATGTCACAATCCGTTCAAGCCCCTGCTTGTTTACCTTTCTTTTGCTTGCTGTATCGTGTCTTGTCTGCGTCTCTGCCTGGCGGTCTGCCTGTCTGTCTGCGTTTCTTTTCGTCTTGTTTGCTTGGCGGTGCAACCAGTGCTTCTCGTTCAATTGTGTTCGTATCCATGACGGCTGTTGTTACAAACAATACACCTCACCCTCATATCATTCGCCTGGCAACCACCGTGTGTGTGTGTGTGTGTGTGTATGTGTGTGTGTATGTGTGTGTGTGTGTTTGTTTGTTTGTGCTTGTGACGTGTGATCCCTTTGCTGGCCACATCTCATCATGCCCCGTGTTGTGTGGTGTTTGTTGATGGGGCTCCACAATGCTGGACGACCGACTACGTGATATGTACTGCTATGCTTTCAACAGAGAAGTAAGGACAAACGAAGGAGCCGAGTGTGTGTGTGTGTTTGCGCAAGTGTTGGCACAGGCCAAAGTAAAGGTCAAAGGGAGATAAGGAAAGCAAATAAGGGGTGTAGGTAAGGACTTATCGTGAACACAAGACGAAATGAAATTTGATGCTAACAAGGAAAGACTACGCACACATGTCTGCGCACACACACACACGTGTCAGAGGGTCTGAAACCCAGCAACACATGAACAGTGGACATATACGAGTTGGGTGGAGATGATTGGAACGTCGGGGACTATGCCACACGTGCAAAGGAACCGGTGCACACACGAAGAAAAGTACGATGCACCCGTGCCAGTGAACAACGCACACGCGTGAAACACTGGGAGTAACAAGCAGGGGAGGGAAGGAACAGAATGTGGCGAAAGTAGGACACATGTTGTTGTTGCATGTTGTTGCTGGATACAAAGTGGGCGCTATGAGAACAGAGGTGTTCCGAGCTGCAGCCGAGTCGAGATTGGTCGGAGGGAGAAAAGGTGGAGATGGTCAAGTAGAGACAAAGAGAGAGAGAGAGAGAGAGAGACGTATGAGCATTGACTAGCGTTGTTAAAGTCACGCCACGCCTGCTTGCTTGCTGGCCTGTCTGTGTATGTGTTGACACCACAGCAGCACGCGTGAGCAGCTGCCTCATAAACAATTGCGAAAATTCTCCACCACAGGCGCAAACGCGTGCACAGATGCGCAGGTATGAAGCAACATAACATGCAAACCACACACACACACACACACACACATGTGCACACACACGCGCACACACACGCACACATGCACACACACACACACCATGAGCAAGCACGATGGACGCACCTATGCCTGGTTGGCCGGGTTTGACGGGGAGCGCTGCCAGGCCTTCTTGACAGCAGCCTTCACCTGCGACAGCCGCAGCGTCGGGTTGTCCGCCTGCATCGTGCATAGCGGGGCGGGTGGGGGGTGACATGGACGGGTGAGAAACGCCCAGCAACAAAAACATGGAACGTTGTGTTGGTCAGGACACTCGCGCACACACACACACACACCAAGCGGTTCACCTTGAAGGCCTCCAAGTTCTGCTCCTCAAACTCCGCGTACGACATTCTCTTGGTCGGCAGCGCTTGCGCCCCTGAAATGCACATACACACACATACATACACACACAAGCAATCGGTGACAGGCAATGAGTCCATCACCAAGACCACCACCAGGACCACCACCAGGACCACCACTGCCAACCAACAACACGGAGCATGGACGCACCGCCAATGCGCAGGACGCTGATGGCCTCCTCCACTGTTCGCGCCTCCGTGATGTTCTGCTCCTGCACGTGCTCGGCAACGGACTGACATGCGGTGTTGGGGTGATTGTGGATGAACAGTTGGAGGTGGTGGGGTGAGAAGTGGCGCAACCAATGCCCGCCATGCTTTCGCAAACAGACACACACACACACACACACACACACACACACACACACACACACGCACGCACGCACGCACGCAAGCACACACACACACACACACACAAGCACACACACACACACCTTGTTTGGGTTTTCTTCTGCAAAGTGCTGGACAGTGAGCTTCTGCTTGTCGCGCTCGGCCTCTTTTGCTTTGCGCTTCGCTTCTCTTTCTTGCTCCATCTGGCGTTGCACCAATACGACAAACAAGCCAGCATGTACACATGCATTCGCATACATCAGGAGTGAGCAAGGGTCGCTGCAGAGAAGAGCGCGACGGGGACCAATGTGCTGTGGTGCAAGACTATGAAGGCGCAGGAACGATGGAGTGACGCAAAGCAGCGTGCGTACCTTCAGCAGTGCCAATTGTGCGCGGGACTGTGAATTCGAGCATGATGGTGCAGAGGCAGAGAGAGAATGTGAGTCGGCGCGTCTGGACATGGGGTTGGGGGGTTGGAACAACCACACGTGTGCTTGTCACCCTCAAGACGTTTGCGTGTGTACACTGAAAGCACACATGCACATGCAAAGGTATGCACATGCAAGAATACACACATAACACACACGTGCAAGAATACACATAACGCACACATGCAAGAATACGCACACACACACACAACACAAACACACGCACACGCACACGTGCACACACAAACACACACACACAAAACAAACACACGAAACATACACACACACACACGAATGCTCACCTTCTTGAGGTTGTTGGGCTTGTTCTTCCCCTTTGCCTTGTGAATCTCCTTTTCAATTTGGTGCTCCTCTTCTTCAAGCAACGCTCTGTTCTCTGCCTTGCGCTTTGCTTGGGCTTCCAGCTTTTCTTGGCGCTCATGCTTGCGCTGCTCTGCCTTCTTCCGCCTCGGGTCGTTATCGACCCACTTGGCATCCTGATGATGATGTACGGACGGCAAGCAGCCAAGCAGCCGTGTGAATGAAACACATACAACCCCCTGCCATTCATTCCGTCATCCAAGAAGCAGCAGCACGAGTCCTTGCCAGCCCCCCAACTCTCCTCCTCCTCCTCCTCCTCCTATCCCAAATGACCCCCCCCCCCCCCAAAAAAAAAAAGAACACCACCCAAGCATTACCCACTTCTTCACCCTCCCGTTCTTCCTTTCCCCCTTCTCCCATCGACACTTACAGCACACACACACACACCTCTTTGGCTTGCTCCTTCTTGGCCTTTTCCAGCTCCTTCTTCAGCTGCTTGCGTGCCTTGGCCGCTGCGGCCTTTTCGCTGGCGGCTGCGCCTCCTTTCTTTCCCATCTTGTCGTGCGGTGTTCTCAGCAAAGAACGAGAGGGAGATGCGTTTGCCGTGTGATGTGACTGGCGGTGCGCACTGCCCTTGTCGCTGTCACCCGCGAGTTACAACAATGCCAGCGCGGCGTGGATGATGACACAACGTGCGTTCGACGCAGAGAAAAAAGGCAAAGAGAAGGACCTGCCTTCTTGTGCTTCTTGCGTATTCGCGCCACACGTGCTTTTTGCCACCAATTTTCAATGTGGCAAAATCACAATTACCTCTGCGTGTGTGGCAAAACAAGAAAACAACCCTTGTTCTTTGTCCCTCCTGGAAGTTTGGAATCGCGGCACAACACATCACACACGACCAACACCCGCTGCCCACATCAACAACAGACAACAGCGCTCACGCTGCATTGCAAAAAGCCCTCTTCTCACCTCCCTCTTCCCAGCTCCCACCTCCTCTCGTACACCTTCATCTTCCCCTTCCGCACACACACACACACACACTCTCTCTCTCTCTTTGAGTAGCATGCACATGAAGAGGAGATGGAGGAAGGTGGCAATGGTGCTTGTACTTGCTTCGTTCATCTGCGGCGTGGCCACCACCATCGTCTTACTCGCGGTGCACGCCCCACACATCAGTGATGAACCCGCGCCAACGACAAGAACCCACCACCGCAGCCGGCAACCCCGCAACTTCAGCAAGGGCGGCAATAGCGGAGGCAGCGCCCAGGACAGCAGGTGGAGCTGTGACGAGAGCACGAATCCAGCCGTGCATGCGCACGTGGCAATGGTTGTGGCTGGTGTGGACGCTGCACGTGGTGCCTCCATCACCATCCGCTCGCTTCTCCAGCACCGGACAGTGTGTGTTCATCTGCACATTGTGTGTGACGCGGAAGCCCGCCACTCCCTGCAGCGTTTTCTTCAGGGCGGTTTGCAGGCACGCCTGCCTTGCGTCTCCAGCACCTTCCGCGACATCACGCCAGCGTTGGACGAGGTGGCGTGGATTCCAACCCGCCACACTGCCGGCGCCTACGGGTTTGCCAAGCTCGTGCTTGAACGCGCGCTGCCAGACGTGGACCACGTCATTGTCCTGGATACCGACCTCAGCGTGCACGCAGACATCGGCCAGCTCTGGCGCCTGGCATTCTTCCCCAGCGACACCGCTCATGGCAGCAACAATGGCAACATGCACAACAACCACAACGCCGGTGACCGGCTCCACAGCCTCGACGACAGCACGCAGCAGCAGCAGCAGCAGCAGCAGCGCCGGCTCTTCGCTGCTGCCCTGCAGCAGAGCGACTGGTACTTGGGCACACTCCCTGGCATCCCCAGTAGCCTGATCTGGCCGGCCGTCGGCCGAGGGTTGAACACGGGCGTGCTTGCGCTGCACCTCGCCCACATGCGCCAGGATGGGTGGCGGGACTTGTGGGAGACGGCGCTGCGGCGACAGCTTGCTTCTCGTCGCGCGACAACGGCCCTCGCAGAGCAAGACGTTTTCAACGTGGTGTTTCTGGAGCATCGGGAGCTGGGCGGCGTGCTGCCCTGCGAATGGAATCTGCAGCTCCACGACCACACCTCAGCGCCAGCATGCCTCATGCCAGCTTACCAAGGCCACCAGCACCCGCGACAGTACTGGTTACCGCCACCGAGGCAGCCTGCCATCTTGCACTGGAACTCGCCGCTGAAGCAAGAGGCAGATATTCCGCTCAGGCCACACCTGATGCGCATGCACCAAAGTGCTGTGGAAGCGAACGGCGCCACTGCATCCCTTGTGCCATTTATGTGCCACAACAGCACAGGCGCTTTGAGCCAAGACACGGCACTGAAGGATGGTGGTGCTGTTGTCAAGAAGCAACAACAACAACAACAACAACAGCAACAACAACAACAACAACAACAACAACAACAACAACAACAACAACAACAACAACAACAACAACAACAACAACCCCCTTCAGACCACAGGCGACTTGTAAAAGGGCAGGCTCCAATCACACACGTCAACTATGCGATGGTACAACCACGACGGCGCATGTTCAAGTGCACGTGCAAAGGCCCGACGTGTGTGAGGGTTAACGACGCAGCCTCGTCAACGCTGGTGATGGCACACAGCACGGCAGCAGCCGCACAGGTGTATCTGCGACAAATGCAACTTGGTGTCGACGACGACAGTAGGCGTGATGGTGGGGATGCCGGTGGTGACGGTGGTGGTGGTGATGGTGGAGATGGAGGTGATGTTGGTCGTGGTGCCACTGCCTTTCGTGCGGACACTGGTCGTGATGATGTCGGCGGTGGGCAAAGGCAGGTGACATGCGTGGAGCAAGAGGTCAGGCGAGTTCCTCACAACGAAGACGTGACGTTGCTGCTGCACACATCAGCCGACCGACTGCCTGCCTTGCTCGAACTGGTGAGCCAGTGGGACGGCCCAATATCGCTCAGCGTGTACGCCAGGTTCAGCGACGCGCGTGCCATTGACACGTTCCTTGACCAGGCACGCGACAAGGTGGTGGATGTCATGCGTGTGCACATCGTCTACTCATGGATCCACGATGACGATGGCGGGGATGGTGGTAGAGTTGCTGACACTGATGGTGGTGGTGGTGGTGATGGTGATACTGGTGATACTGATGGTGGTGAGGGGATCGAGGGGTACGACATCAACGCGGGCAGTCGAGGTAGGAGAGAGGAAGGCACACGTCCTCCGCCAGCAACTCCTAATTGTGGTGCCGGTGGGGGACGCAGTGGCCACGAGGAAGAATATCCCATCAACTACATGCGCAACGTTGCCTGGGATGAGGCGACAACAGAGCACGTGCTGATGCTCGATGCAGACTTTGTCATCAGCAGCAACGCCTACGCACGCATCCGTGCAACCTTGCACCGGCAGTTGAATGACAGGGACGCACGTGATACAGGTGCAACAGCGTTTGTGGTGCCAGCGCTGGAGACGGACGAGTATGCGTTCCGTGTCCCAGATACGGTGGATGGCGTGCGAAGGTTGGCAAAGGAGGGCGAGTTGCGGGCATTTCGCAGTCGAGAATGGGAGAAAGGACACGCGCCGACGAACATGACACGCTGGCTATCGTCCACGCAGCAGCAGCAGCAGCCATACCGGGTGGACTGGCAGCCGGGGTACGAGCCCTACCTCGTCCTCCCAGCCACTGCTCCCAGGTACGAGGTTGGTGAGTCCGTGTACAACATGATGGCGGTGTCAGACGCCACATCCCACAACTGCAGCCAAGCCAGTCTCGTCTGTCTTGTCCTCATCACGAATCCTATACACACACGCACACACACGCGCACGCGCACATCATCATGGTCACGATCACTAGGTACGATGAGCGGCTGTCCGGGTTTGGGTGGAACAAAGTGCTGCATGTCCTCGCGCTGAGACTGCAAGGGTACGAGCTGCGTGTTCTGCTGGATGTCGCCATCATCCACCGTCCACACGCCGCCTCCCACGACCTCACCGCGTACCGCCACGACCCCGAATACCAGCGCTGCGTCGCGGAGAGGGGTGCAGCCATCCAGGATGAGCTCCTCGCACACGTTGACAACGCAGACACCTACCGTGTCCAGACCCTACATGCGCACAGGCAACGCAGCCGGCAAGCACAGTTTCGAGTGGCACGCCGCACCCACGCAGCAAGAAGCGAAGCAAATGACCAACACAAACAGCACCAGCAACACCAAGAAGAGCACCACCAACGTCAACATCAACAGCAACAACAGTATGGCACTGGAGGCCAGAAGCGCCGCGCGTCGCACGCGGTGGCTGAGCAGAGTGTTCACGCAGCGGCAGAGAGGCGGGCAAATCGCATCGCACGCCGACACCACCGCCATATGTGAAGCTGCAAACACTCGAGGACACCTGCACACTTACATGTCACCCCCCCCCCCAAACAAACCAACCGTCCTCGACATCCTGTGAGGCCTTGTTGTTCACACACGCTTGGTCGTTTACTTGTTGCTTCTTTGAAGGCTTGTGGTGAGAAAAGCGGGGGGAATAGCCTGGCAATAATGGACCATTTGAACACATGTACATGCTCACACAGCGAAGAGAACAAGAAGAATGACGGGCGCATGCAATCACAAACGACAGCATGGCATGGTCAGCACAGGGGCAAACAAACATACACACACGTACACACGCAGCAAGTAGGCAAGCGTACCCGTCAAGGGCTCGAGCTCATAGTTTGGCATCTAGTAATTGACAAGGTGGCGGGAAGGGCACGGATAGATACATGTGCACTGTGACCACCAACAAGAAACACACACACACACACACACACACACACACACAAATGACGACATGAGCACAGTCCTTTGACACGTGCTCAACAGCAAAGAAAGAAATCACGCCAGCAAGTTCTCTCCCTCTTCCGCCCCCCCCCCCCAAAAAAAACGAAGTCAACGGGGGAGGGGAAGAAGGCACCACTGTGGGCGTGGGTTACGGGGAGAACTGTGGCTTTGGCGGACGGGCGGGAACGTTTGTGATCTCGTGGAGCGGGAGCGATGTCATCTTGGACAGCGGCGGTGTTGGCGTCTGGGCGCTGCTGCGAATCATCCGACGCTCCTCCTGTCGTGTCACGCGTAGAGAGGGGTGGTGGTGTGGTATTATGTCGCAGGTGAGATACTGCAGCGTCAATCATTCCCATTGCAGCACACACACACGACACAATGGATTACAAACTCACAAGAAACCATCCCAGCCTCCACGCACAACAACACACACACACACAGACACACACACACACGCACACCGGACGCACCATAATGTGTCGGTCGATGGTCTTCTGCAGGTTGTCGGACGTCTGTGACTCGAGCGTGAACCGGAGGTGCAGCATGTTGCCCCGCTCCAGGGCGCGCGTGTATCTGTCCTCAACAGCACGCAGCTCCAGGCCGCGGTGGTCGGTGATCTTCTCTCGCACAAACAGGCAGCGAAACACCTCCATAATCTCCTCCTGAAAGTGGCTCACGCGGAGGTCCGAGTTGCTGGTGAGGCTTGACGGCCATGCAGACTTGCAGCCAACAAGGTGCATGGAGACAAAGTAGATGGCGGCGCCCAGGGCCGCGGGGGCGTGGGTCAGCGTGGGCTGGTGCAGCAGGCACGACTCAGACACGTAGTCCATGAAGCAGCGAATGTGCACCGGGACCTGAGGAGGCAGGAAAGACAATGTGACAGAACCACAAACACGCGCACACGCATGGATGTGAGAACACCACGGCAGAAGCGAAATGGGCAAGAGGCCACAAAGAAGAGAGAGAGAGAGAGAGAGAGAGAGAGAGAGAGTGTGTGTGTGTGTGTGTGTGTGTGTGTGTAAGCATGACCGCGACGTACGTTTGAGAGCTCTGCAAAGATGGTGATGTAGTCGTTTGGCGACGGCCGGCGCACGTGGCCATCAGCAACAGCGAGGACCGCAGCAACCATCTGCACCACGTCCTCGTAGTCGTACGTGTTCTCCGTCAGCCAGGCCGCCTCGCGAATGGTGACGACGTCCTGCTCGAGGAAGCGCGCGGCAATGACCATGCACGTGATGCCGAGCAGCTGCAGTGTGCGGCGGGTGATGGTGCGTGTGGCAAGGTACCGGTCCACCATGTCCACGGCGCAGTGCAGCGTGTCGATGGAGTACATCTTGAGGCTGGCCACCTCCAGCAGCCAGTCGACGAGGATAAACCGCATCTTGCCCTGACTGTCCAGCTCGGGCTGTGCCGGCGGCGGCGCGTCACTCCGCAGCCGCAACTTCTCCATCCCAAGCTCAACCGTCTGCCAGCGGTGGCGGTGGTGGTTAAAGTGACGAAGGGGAGGCCGAACGTAAGGTGAGCGGCTTGAAGCAACGTGAACAACCACATGCGCACGTCCAAATAACACATAATGGACCGAATGGCACAACAAGCACACCCGCCCCCCACATGCACACAGTGCAACGGAAAGCAAGCTGCGAGTGGACGCACCTCACGGAAGAGCTCGCGCTTCTTTGGTTCGTACATCTCGCGCGCGCGCGTAAAATGGCGGATGGCGGCAAAGCGGAGGCGCGGGCACTCGCGGGCAGCCTGCAGCAGCCGCTTCTCCCGCGTAAACGAGTGCTCCTCATCGTCGTTGTACTGAGCAATCACACGTGGAAAGCGACCAAAGGCGGTGAGCATCCGGCAAACGTGCACAGCAGTATATGTGTGTGTGTGCGCGCGTGTGTGTGCTGACGATGATAATGATCCCAAAGGAGAGAAGAAGAGCAGGAGCAAAGATTGCGTTGGCTCACCGCTGTCGGGTCCTTGACAAAGAGGTCGTGGACGGCGTCTGCGCAGTGCATCAGTTCGGCCTTTTGTAGCGCTTCAACAACCTCCCGCTCGTCTCTCTCCTAAGGAATGCAGTCAGCACGCAACGAGAAACAAGTGGTGGTGGTGGCGGTGGCGGTGGATGGGGTTGAGCGCAGGGCAAGCAATGGCGGGGATGCGCAGGCAGGCCAGTCAAGAGATGACACCAATTTGTGAGCACAAGCAGGCGCACACACGCGCACACACGCACCTCGTGAAGCTCGAGGGTTTTCGCCACACAGTAATACATGCGGCCAGCGAGGTGGGGGTCTGTGCTTGGATCCTGGGTGGTTGCATGTTCGCAAGTGACAACGCAAGGTGAATGCACTGCCAACAACCACGCAAAGCAACCCAGAGACCACAAACACGCACGCACACACACAAAGCACACGCACACACACAAAAGCTACAGGCGCACATTTCAACACCCGACGCGACACACACGCATGCGCGTACCTCTGCCATGGCGTGCATTTGCTGAAAGACACAAGCCTTTGAGCACGTGTCGTTAGTCCATGGCGGGCGGAAGAGAAGCCATACAAAGGGGGTGGTGCCCGCACACAGCTTCTCTGCTTGCAGCAGATACTTGAGTGCTGTCGTGGCATCGCTGTCCACTGCAAGGTTGAACATGCACACAAAGCAAAGCATGTGAGCAGCTGTCGCAAAAGCGGCACAGGTTTGTGCTCTGTCCAAAGAGCAAGAAAAGGACACTACAGCAAACAACTACCAAACAGAACGCTGCAGGCATGATGCATGCAAGGCGTGCCACGCAAATGACAGGGCAAGTGACAACCACGTGTAACTGGCAGTGCGCACCTCTCTTTCCATAAAGGCAAGCAATGCCATATTTGAGGGCAGCTTCGTTGTTGCCTGCATCCGCAGCCCTGTGGTCACATGCAAAGAAAGGGGGAGGGTGTGAGTTTGCGTGAGAGAGGGTGTGTGCGCGTGCATGCGCGCGTGTAGTCGGGCGGACGTTGGTGCTGGAACACAAGCACACGCGCAAGCCATGTGAAACAAGAAAGCACAAGCAACAAGTAAGGTAGCCACTCGACATGCAGTGAACGAACACCAGCACACACACAAGACCAACCTTGCAAATGCGTCTGCCGTGTCCTTGGTGGGCCACAATCCTTCAAAGGAGACTTTAGAGAGGACTGATCGTGTGTATGCGAGCTCGTTCATCTTTCGACACGTCTGTTGGAAGAGAGGGGGGGAGGGAGAGAAATGTGCAAGGAAAGGCGTGAGAGGTTGCGGCTTTGTGAGACTGCCATGTCGAAGGCCAACGGCGTGCATGCCACACAAGCGGGTCGACAGACAAGACACATCACACGTGTGCATTGCCATACACACACACACACACACACGATATCAACAAGACAACACTGCATGTTGGGCATGCACTCATTACCTGAGCGACTTGGCAGAGGTCTTTCATGTCGAGAAAGGCGAGGATGTTGGATGTGAGCTCATCTGGCATGTTGGTGAAGAACCCCTCTGGCACGGTACCGTGGTGTGAAGCTTGGTCGGTGTCCATGGTTGCTCGGTTTGTTGTGTCGGTTGTGGGGAAATGGAAGGTGGGATACGGGAGAAAGAAAGACAAAAAGGGGGTTGGTTCGTCTAGTGAAGCGTGATGTGTGTCCCTAGTGTCTGTCCTATTATTGCCAAGCAAGCAAGCGAGGGACAGAGCAAGGAGGCAAGCACGTGAGTGAGTACAAGTGTGGGAAATGCGTGTGGTAGAGTGCGGTGATGCGCCAATGCTTTGTCGATGGAGCGGTGTGGTCGGGAAGTGCCTCCCTTGCACTTGTGATGGGTGTGGAATGACCATGTTGATGGTGGCACCGGCCCACTCACCTAAGGTGGAAGCTGGTTCGTCGCTTGAGGTCGTGTCGAAAGGGAAGCGGAAGAAGTGGGTTTGGTCGATTGAGGGGTAGGCTGTCTGTCGAGGAGACCAAGAAGTGAGGAGGTACGGTTGGTTGTGTCGAGAGGTATTGATGGTGGAGGAAAGTGGAGTGAGTGAATGTGAAAGAGGAGGCGGGGAGGAGGGGAATGATAACCGTTGAAACAATCACCAACGGATATGAAGCAGGAGGAGGAGGAGGAGGTGTGTTAATGAAGGAACAAGACGGGGGGGGGGGGGCGAGCAACCGAAGGCACAGACGCACAGAGGGAGATGAAAATGGTCACAACGGCAATCGACAAGTCAAAACATGCCAGGTGCACGTACGTTGGGAAGGCAGAGGAGCGCAAAGGCAGGCACAGACTTGGATGGAAAACGATAGTTTCTTGCCCTGACGGATAGGCGAGCTCAGGCCAATGTCAGGGGCGTCAGCTTTGGTGTGTGTGTGTGTGTGTGTGTGTGTGTGTGTGTGTGTGTGTGTGTGTGTGTGTGTGTGTGTGTGTGTGTGGCAGATTCGTCAGTCCCGTCGGTTGCAGGTGAAAATGTCAGATGGGTGGTTGTGCGTGAGCGTGTGTCCAACAGCGGCACAGCGGCGAGAGAAATCAGTTGTCACATCATCGCCAAATCGCTGATTCACATCACACACTCGAACAACGGACTTGGCGAGCTAGCCAGCAGCCAACGAACGAGCCAACGGATGGACCCAACGGCGATGCACAACGAAGCGAAAGTCAAAAAAGCGCGCGCCGCAGAGCAAGCGAGAACAAGGCGTCCTGGTGGTGGGTGGTGGGTGGTGGGTGGTCTCACCTCTTGTCGAGGAATGGATGATTGGTAGCTGCACCAACGCGCAGTCAGAGGGAATCGCGTGTGTGACTGACTGGCTCAAACACAATGGGCTGCAAGCCGCTTGGAAGGCGATGACGGCAGGTGCGCCTGTCGAGGGCTGGTGCAGCTTGGTTGGCTATTGAGTGTTGGTTGGTTGGTTGGTTGGTTGTGTTGGTTGGTTGTGGTGGTTGGTTGGTGGGTTGGTTGATTGGTCGCCCAAGTGACTCGCATGCGTGCGTGCAAAGAGGGCAAACAACGGTTGGGTGGTTCAACGGCGTGTGTGGCGATTCGTCAGTGTGTGTGTGAGTCAGTGTTGTGGTGGTGGTTGGGAGCTGTTCGTTGGTTGGTCGTGGGAGCAGCAACGGTCGGGGACACAATAAAAAAATTTGTTTTTGTAACGGACATCGCGTCACCGAATTTAACAATAGAGCGTGGTAGTTTCCATCCTTTTTTTACATGTGGGTGACATCAAATTTGGCGCACCGGACATGGTCTGTTTTTGTGGATGTGTGTGTGTGTGTGTGTGTGTGTGTGTGTGTGTGTGTGTGTGTGTGTGTGTGTGTGTGTGTGTGTGTGTGTGTGTGTGTGTGTGTGTGTGTGTGTGTGTGTGTGTGTGCTTTGTGCCACATCACGCCGCTCACTCACGCTCACTCACGCTCACTCACTGGTCTGTTGTTATTACCATATGCATCTGCACAAGCACAAGGTGCGCACATCAACACAAATGTACACCCACAACCACAACCACACCCACACCCACACCCACACCCACACCCACACCCACACCCACACCCACACCCACACCCACAACCACAACCACAACCACAGCCATATCTGTTTTAAGTTAGAAGAAGCACGTGCAGCGTGTAACAAATGTACAGCAAAAGAAGCCTAGAGCTCGCTGTGGATGAGGAGCTGTCGAAGAGAGTCGTAGACGAGAAAGGTGATGATGCTGGACGGCACGGCCTTGACCAAGGAGGGGGTGAGGCCCTTGAAGAGCCCACGCACGCCCTCCTGGCGAAGGATCGACACCAGGCCGTGCCAGCTGCTCTCGTAGCGGACGGTGGCGCCAAACCCAAACTTGTCCCGCGCATGCCCAAAGTCCATCACTTGGAACCGCTTCTTCACAATGTCAATCGGATGCACCAGCGTCTTGCTCACCACCCCGGATATCGCCCTGTTTGTTTGTGTGTGTGTGTGTGTGTGTGTGTGTGAGTGAGTGTGTGAGTGAGTGTGTGTGTGTGAGTGTGCATTGTGCGTGAGGGTATGTTGTGTTTGGTGTGTTGAAGAGGTGGCTGCATGACGTACTTCACACACGCAACTTACACAAACACGCAACTTACACACACATACACGCAAAACATACACACACACACACACACACACACACACACACACACACACACACACACACACACACACACACACACACACACACAAAAGCGTGCGTACCCTGCAAGCGCCTTTTCAAAGGTGGATGAGATGTTTCGTTGTCCGTCATGTGAGAGTGCAGCCAGCGCACGCTTTGCGCCAATGTACACGGAGAAGGACGTGCCAATGTACGGGATGACCGCAACCAGTGTCGGCGCCAACCCTGCACATGCACATGCGTATGTGAAGGTGAATGTTTGCGTTAAGGTGTGTATGTGCGTGTGTGAAGGAGAACCACGCTCACCACCAGTGTGCACGCGCTCACAACGACACTACCTCCTTCCCAGCTGCTCATATGCAAGTGTATTCACGCAATTACATGCGCCATGGAGTGTGCCCACACCTCTGTAGAGAGAGCCGATGCCCTCGTGTTGAATCATCGATGTCAGGGAGTGCAGCACATGGCGGTAGACCTGGATGTGTGGTAAGCAAAAGGGGGAGACCGGGGGAGCATGGAACAGCGCACGGCGGGAGGAAAGGAGGCACAGAGGTCGATGTGAACAAAACGTTCACATTGCACGCGACACATACACTCATGAGAGTGCCCAAGGAAAGCAAGCACACACACACACACACCCTCTCTGTCTTTGTCTGTCTCTCACACATGAAGCACGTGCAGGGAACGCACACAAACACAAACGTACAGAGCAGACATACACACACGCACACGCACGCATGCACGCACACGCACGCACAGAGCAGACACAGACACACAGACACACAGACACACGCACAGAGCAGACACACGCACGTACAGAGCAGACACACGCACGTACAGAGCAGACACACCTTGGGTTCGCCTTGGCTGACCATGCGCGTGCGAACAATGTCGAGAGGGTATGTGCAAACGGTGGCCACGGTTGCAGCGGCGCTTCCAGCCACAAAGTTCGCGCGAACATCCCCTGTCCAGAGGTACAAAGCCATCGGGAGTGAGCATCGCCATTGGCACGCGTGAGCGCAACACACGAACACACACACACACACACACACACACACACACACACACACACACACACACACACACACACACACACACAGAACAGCAATGACATGAGCAGAGGCATCCACACTTCCGCACACGCACACACACACACATACACACCCACACACACACACACACACCTTCTTTTGATAGTCGTTGCTGTTCTGTTGTGAGCATGTCGCGAACGCCCTCAAACACGGGGAACTGTCGTGTGGAGGCGAGACAAGACAACACAGCACAGTTGGCCGAGATACAAGGGTGATCAAGTCAAGACACACAAGGCGCTTTGCAGAGCAGCACACGCTGCGGACACAAACCATGTGCACCACACATCCTGCCTCCCCCCTCGTCTTTCCACACAAGCTTACCTGAACCGCAGCGTAGGAGATGGAGAGGAGCTGTGATGCGGTGTGGCCTTTCCAAAAGCTGGCCATGCCTTCATGCTTGTACATGTCACGGACACAGTGTTGCAAACTGCGGTATCGCCCAAGAGAACTGTGGCTGACCTCTTCCACTTGCAGCTGCAGCCGGATCTTGACCACATCAAACGGCGTCACGACGAACCTGGATATCGCACCGGCAGCCCCACCTGCCACCGCACTCGCCGTCGCATGGTCCATCTTTGGGCCTGCAGTTGTTGTTTGTCTTTGTTGCTGCTGTGTGGTGCAGTTGTGTGCGTGCTGCTGCTGCTGCTGCTGTTGTTGTTGTTGTGTGTGTGTGTGTGTGTCTGTCTGTGTGTGTGTGTGTGTGTGTGTGTGTGTGTGTGTGTGTGTTCCAAACCAGTCACCGTCGCCGCCACACTGCGCCCTGGCGGTACTCATGCACACGTTTTCTGTTGTCATCGTGGTGGCGCCGCGTCTAGTCGTCGCAGATGCAATGGTGCCCGAATGAGAACGAGATGCATGGTTTTGGACAGGAACAGGAAATGCACGCATGGAGATGGAGATAGAATAGAATAGAAGAGCAGACATTAGCAGAGCGTGTGTACGAGTGAACGTGTTTAGTTGAAGAAAAGACATGTAATGAGTTGTTTGAGGCAGAAGCGAAGAAAAGAGAAGATTGTAGATAAGATGTGAAGCGAAGTAAATAATTGGAAGAGAATAGAATAAAAGAAAATAGAAGAAGATGAAGGGGAAGAAGACATAAAGACAGATG